AGAAAGCCATAAAAGGCATATTCACTAGGATTATCAAGGAAATCAATTCAGTAATTCATACTGCAGATGAATCAAGTACTGAAACAGACTCCAGTTAGGAATAAACATCAGTTAATGAAAATTCTTCAGTTGAATGTAAATGGATTTTACCGCAGACTAGAGAGTATAAAGAACCTATGCCAGTTAAAATACCCTGCCGTCCTCTGTATCCAAGACACCAACTTTAATGACTCCAAGCACGACAATGAGTATAATTGTTTCTTCAAAAACTGATCTAACACCAATCATGCCAGTAGTGATGTAGCTATTCATCAAAGACCATATTCCATATCAAGAAGTGATTATTTAATCAAACATTGAAGTCAGTGCTATAAGGTTTCTGTCACCTGTTCGAAGTAATGTAGGTAATATATATGCCAAATAGCTACAAGTTTGCTGAAGTAATTGATATTATTAACAAGATGCAAAAAATTCTCATTATGAGAAATTTCAATTGCCATAATCCAATTTGGGTATCCAATCAAACTGAGAGCAGAGGTATTATGCTTGAGGAAATATTGATAAAGTAGATACAATTGTTCTTAATACTGGAGAACCAACTCACATAAATACCAGTAACAACAATTACGGTGCCATTGATATTTCTTCATCCAATATGCCTATAATTTTGTATGAAACATTTTAGATTACCCCTATGATAGTGACCATTTCCCTATTTTTATAAACTTAACAACAATCTCAACATTTATAATCATGATTAAGCAATCCCAAGATGGAATTACAATAAATCTAACTGAAATTTTAACAATGACCTGATCAAAAAGTACCTACCTAATATTAATGCCCTTCTAGAAAATGAAAATAGCATTAAAGCATTTAATCATGTAACCACTAAAGCTGCAAATGAATGAACTCAACAATCAAATCAGCTAACAAATCCAAACTAGTGCGTTGGTGGAATGGCAAATGCAAATTGGCACTCAAAAAGTCCAAACATGCATTCAACAAATATAAAAAACATAATACTGAAGAAAATAAAATACAATACAAAAATATGAGAGCTACTACAAGAAGAACCATGAAAGAAAGGAAAGCAAACTCCTGAACCATGAAAGAAAGAAGACAAGTATTTTTGAAGTCTATCAATACATAATAATATTGAAAAAATCATGGGCAAAAATAAAATTTTTCGAAGGAATGAGGAAAGGTGAACAAATACATTTTTTACTGTCAAGTCACCACATCATTACAGATCCTAATTAATTAGCAAATTAAATTGCACGTAGTTCTGCCAAAAACTCTAGCTCAAAAAACTCTACAGAAGTCTTCTTACAGTACAAACAAGATCAAGGAAACCTTACAGAACTTACAAATACTGATTACTTGGCAACCTATTACATCAATGATTCTATTGGAATTAAAGAACTTGATTCTGCTATAAAGAGGACTAAGAACACTTCACCTGGACCAGACAAACATACCATACATTCTTTTTAAAAAAATCTATCCCAGAAGGTAAATAATCTCAATTGAAATATATAACATATGTGATAAAATGTATTTCCTGAAATATGGAGATCATCTATTGTTATACATATACCAAAGCCTGGGAAAGACCCCACACAAAATCAAAATTACAGACCCATTTCTTTAACATACACTATATGTAAAAATATGGATAAAAATTCTGGAAAAATAATGAAAGTAAGACTCGGATGATTATAGACTTCACAAATATAATATCCAACAATGAATTTGGTTTCAGAGAAGAACATCTAACTACTTCACACCGAATAAGTGTAGATACTCACATCCAAGAAGCCCTTGCTAACAAAGAGATATTAGTAGAAGCTGCAACGAAACATCGCCTCTTCCATCAGTAGTTTTTATCAGTCATGAATGTTTTGGAAAGACCACACACAATTGATAATGATTGTTACTTGGAGAAAGAATTAACGAGTTTTGAAGAGATTGTTACAGTCACTTCTGTCCAGACGAAATCAAACGTTTCTTTATGAAATTCGTCGTTTTTACTTCATGTTACGACTGCATTCAAGTGACTGGAATACCCTGAGTCAAACCTTGAAAGCGTCCAACACGTTTTTAGTAAGCTTTCAGCACTTTGCCTCTGACAATGCGAGCTGGCGTCTGAGGTAGAAATCGGTAAGTTCCCCGTATTTTGAAAATGGTAATTTTACGCGTGGCAGCACAGGAGCTGATGCGATCTTTCGGTGACGCTCCGAACTAACAGGAAGCAATTGACAATCTACGTCAAGGAACTTTGTACAAAAGAAGTGAGTATCTGGTCAACAGGGAAGAAATTCGCGCGCTCTCAATAATGCCAAGTTTGAAACGTTTGATCCTTTCCTCTGACACGCATTCAAAGAACATCAAATGTACCCTATTAAAAGACAAGGCGGCAAATTTGAAGCAATTTGGCAATCAATAAGCCAACAGCAGATGACAGTACCACTCTCTGCAGAAGAACTCTACTACAACCAGTCAAGAAATTGTAAAATCTGCCCTAAACAATCTACATGAATGGTCTCTCAAATCAGGCTTCAAATTTCATTTTCAAAAAGTAAATGTATATTATTCTTCAGACAAAATATGGTGAATCAGCTCACATTAAAAATGTGTCTACATAAGCAAAAATTTGACCATATCAATACAATTTTAGCTGAAGAAAGACTAAATATACTCTAGTCCATTTCCCCTAGTAACTGGGGAGCAGAGAAACATCTCCAGGTGATGACTTACAGGACAATAGCACTATCCAAGATTGTCTATGGGTCCATATTATATGATTCAGCTAGTACAAAAGATATTAGATAACTTGATTTTACACACAATAAAGCTCTATAAATAAGCACCGGCTGCTTTCTTTCCAGCCCCATTGGCAGCACTTTAAAAGAAACTGAAGAAACAGCTCTAGCTCATCGTAGACAAATGCTGTTAAACATGCCGACTCAAAAATCACAACCCATCTTCATATCACTTCTTCCTCTTTATCTATCTTATTTTAATAAACAGCGTAAAGGTAAAATTAACTGGTTTAAATTCATTGATTTAAAAATTAACTACAAACATCCACACAACATTCAGTCAGCTAATGACGTAGGTAATGAAGTCAAACGATTAGTCAGCAACATAAAAGAATCTTTCAGATCTCTACCGCATATCTCAAAAGAACAAACTCGATAAACAAGCTACTAATTCCAAAGAAAATAATAAACCTAATTAAAAGTAAACAGATCTAAAACGCTATTGGAAAACGACACGACAATTAGACTTAAAAAGTAAATTAAACGAAATGTCGAGACTAGTTAAAACAAAACTAGACCAACATAGATATGCAAGCTCCACGACTTTTCTAAGACAAATAATCTAGGAATATGTGGTCCACCAAACCGAGAATAAAAATAACAAAACAAGAATTTCCACAAATTAAACTAGGTTCAGAAGTGGCAAATTCCGATTTTGAGAAATCATCTTTTATAGATGACTACTTTGAAAAGCCTTCATCCTAAACCCAGTCGAGGATCATTTTAATAAAAAGGTAGAGGAATTTAATCGGAAATATACGCTCCAGTTAATATAAAACATATATCCCTATCAGAAGTTAAACTAGAAATAAAAAGAAAGGAAAAAATAAGGCAGGATATGATTATATAAATTAAATATCATTGTTACATTAATATTTTGTCTAATGACAGTCTTTTGTACCTAATATAATGTTTATTGGGCCTAATTTTGTATTTTATGTTGAAGTGCAGTGAGAATGATTTGTATAAAATACCTTTAATGAACCTCTGCACATTAAAGTGGGGGCTAGAATTTCAAAATAGTGTAAAGTAATAATCACTGTTAACAATAAATATATTATTATTATTATTATTATTATTATTATTATTATTATTAATATATTTTCAAGTAGGAGAGCGAAAACTATTCCATTTCGCATTGGAATATTTCATGAAACGAAGTTACACAATTGGCAATTGATACACAACGCATCAATCACTGGTATTTGATGGAACTTGTTGGGATATAGCACTTGAGATTTCTTGTTCCCATCGGACGTCAGTGGATTTTGAGTTGCTCACAATGAGGGGCAACTATCAAATGTGTAACTTCAATATATGAATTTTCCCATCACATGCTCATTGGTAAAAAGTGATAACCTTCGACCCCTCTACATGACGTAGAAGTTTGTAACATTCATTTGAAGACTGACCGTGTAGAGCAACAAGTTGAATTTCGTCCATCAAGATGATGTGTGTGCACGGCCTACTGGGATAAAAACACAGTTTGGCAATATTTTCGTTGTTGTGGAGACGGTTGGCTTAAGACGGGCGATATCAACAACCAAATAGAAATTGAATGTTCTGGAATGAAGACGTAAATTATTATTTCAGTCGGAGTGGCGTAACTCACTGGAGAATTTGAATGTAAGAAATGCAATGTGATATTGGCAGTATATTTGAGGTCACTATTACGGAAAAGCAAAATGAGCTGAAATATTCGATAGTCCTTAGTGAAGTGGAAATATAGAATTGGACATAAAGAAAGGACTTTTATTTATTTGAAAGGTGAAGACGGTAAACCTGGGTACTGTTTTTGAACTGTTCTGAATTGATTGAATGTTGTATTGCTCTTTTCAGTTTGCAAACTATATTTTTATTATTACGAATGAATGTTATCTTTTATTTTGAAATTAAAATTCTTTTGATTCAATATTTCAGTAAGTTACCATATTCAAAACTATGGTGTAGAAAATGGAATTATCGGCCGTAAATCAATAATTAACAGGATATTTTTCATTTTTCCATTAAGTAAATGCATTAATGGAAAATTAAAAACCATCTGAGAAGGGAGCATAAGATTTTAAAGGGAGTGAGGGCCTACACATCAGAAATTCATAGGTAGGTTTTAGAAATTGTACCACAATTCATTATTATGCATCATTTATTTACGAAATGTATAAATGCATTATTTACAAAAAATATACAAATATTACATGCATTCATTCATCATTCATATACCAAAAGGAAGCGTATCATCATATGTACATGGCAAATAAGTATTGACTATATAAATAAGAGGGAAGATGTTATAAATAAATTAGTAAGGGCCGCCGTTTCCGCCGTTGCGGGAGCCTTGGGAGGCAGCGTAGGGTCCGTCGGCCTCCTCGTAGCGGATCTGCGGCTTGTAGCCCTCCTCGTCGGCTTGGTACTCGACGATCTGCGTGCGCCCGTCGGGCAGCACCACGCGGTACTCGCCTTGGGCGCTCTCGTCCTGGCGGTCCTCCTGGTGGCCGAAGTTCGCGCCAGATTCGTAGTCCTCCACGGCGTACTGGAATTCGTAGTTGGCGGGCTCCTGGAGATGAGAAAGAAATTATAAGTTAGTGGGAGCTGTAAGGTCCACGCAGGGTGCTGCTGTGGCTTTCACTCGGTCGAAGAAGAGAGTATTTGATTGCTTTATGTGTGTGTGTGTGTGTGTGTAAGAATACAAAAAAAATATTAGTCACCTCTTACTAGCTTCAAAATAATCGTAAATAATACATGTTTGCCAGTTTCTTCATTGTGCTGGAAAAATAATTACCAGGTATATTTGTTGTTCCAAATTCTTTCACTTATGTCGCTAAACGCAGCTAAGAGAGATTGGAGTCGATATTTATGTGACAGACAAAATGGTTTGAAAATTTGTATAGTAACTTTTGTATAGTAAATTAATGATCGCTATGTAACTTGGCAAAGTCCGGTATTTTCTTTCATCTATGGATATTGGAGCAAACTTAACATAGGTTACAGAATGCATTTTCAAAAGAGGCATTGAGGACTAAGGTGTCCCTTTGTTCGTAAAAAAATCACGTCTGGCTAAGTTGTCTCCTACGCATTAAATATACTACGATAATTATACTCGCCTTTGTCAATTTTTAAATCACCATTTGTATGGTCTGTGAGCAATATTGCGATTCCGTGCCCAACTGCGCAACTGAGAGTTGTGTTGCTTAATCTAACACTACAACAAGATGTTGTCGGTATCGACTCAGAAAACGTATTCAACCTTTGAAAAGAACCTGTAGAGAGCACTGTTTGAACAATATTTACAACGTTGGCTTTTACGTTCAATTATATAAATTCTGAGTAGTTTTCAAAACACTGAGCATTTCGCTGTAAGTATCTATGACTTTTTGGTGGTATGTTTTGTATTGAAAATGCATCTTCTCTAGGGTGTCAGTAAGAATTACTATTAAGAGAATGGTTGAAACAACCCTCTTTGGGGAGAGATAGATGTTAACTCCAAAAATAATAATAAGAGCATCGAACATCACTTTATCTCGAGGTTTTCCCATCTGTTTTAGAGTGTATATTATAATTTTCTGTTTCTCTTCTGGATATCTATTAAGATAAATGCTAATTATTATAAAACTTTGCTATGAGGACCATGAACATTAAGTCACATACCGTAAAATTCGTGAAGAATATATACTAGCCAGCAGTAACCTAGAACTGAGACAATAGTTCTGAAGAAAATATCAAATGATGAACAAATTTTTCCCAAACCCAGTCTTTCTCATAAACCGACTCTCAGTCTGAATTTCTCAAAAACGGAAAAAAGAAAAAAAAGGAAAAAAGAAAAAAAAGAAAAAGAAAAAAAAATCGCGTTTTCTCGACGCAACGGCAAGCGCTGTACGCATCGCTTGCAACGCCCACAACGCCACCACGCGGTTCGCGGCCGCAACCGAGCGATTAGTACGCTGTACCGCCACCGCCGCGCCCTCTGGGTCGGGCGTTGCGTGCGCCTCCATTTGCATGATGACGTGTCCCGCCTCGCGATGACCCGAGCCCCGCGCCTCCTCGCATTCTTTCGTGAATCACTCGAGGCCGTCCTTTGGGGAGGACCGCCCTCCCTGACAGCGCTACCTGACAACTGGCGCTCTTGTGTAATGGGCGCGACTCTACTGTTGCGAGAAAGGTCGAGTGACTCTTGCGGGATGGATTCGGACTGTTGTGCCGGTATGTAACTGTTGGCTACAATGTTTAATCATTAATTGAACGATAATATTGTAGGTGTTGATATAATCTTATCATGACTTCTCATCTAGGTTTCCCTTAGTATTTAAATAACAATATATTTAAATTAAGTGAGGCTTGTCTTAAATTGAGTGAGACTTTGGATTTCTGTATTACTCTGAGAAATATTTGAATTAAATTGCGTAATGAAATGGTGTGAGTTCGTTCGAATATTTTCGAAACAAATTGAATGTAAAACATTGATATTGCATAACTGATTTTCAGTTGTTAACATTTTCATTTAGTGTCTTTGGCACTGGTTGGAATATACTACTGTCAAATAAAATAACTTATGATCGTGGAAGGGCAAAAGTTGTTCTTTCGAATTGAGTTAGAAATAGAGTGTCATGTTTCTGAAGAGAAGACTTACAGCCAGAGGGTCCTCAGTGGTGCCAGCACCAGCGTAGCCTCCGAAGCCGGGGGCGCCGTAGACGGGAGCGGGGCCAGCAGCGCGAGCGGGGGCGGCTGCGGCGTAGCTAGAGCCTCCGAAGCCGTTGCCGTTGCCGTTGCGGGAGCTGAAGCCGTTGGCGCGACCGGCACCGGGAGCGCCGTACACGGGGGAAGGAGCAGCGCCGAAGCCGTTGCCTCCATTGCGGCCAGGGGCGCCGTAGCGGGTGGAGAGAGCGCTGCCGAAGCCGTTACCGTTGCCGTTGCCGTTGCCGTTCAAGCCAGGGACTCCGTATTGGGTGGAAGGAGCGCCAAAACCGTTGCCGTTGGGAGCGCCGTAGACGGACGAGGGGGCGCCGAAACCGTTGCCGTTGCCGTTCATGTAGTCTTGAGCAGGGGCGCCGTACACGGGGGCGGGAGCGCCGAAGCCGTTGCCGTTGCCGCCTCCGAAACCGTTACCGCGAGCGGGGGCTCCGTACCGCGAAGAGGGCGCGCCGCCACCGAATCGGCTGGAGCCGCCGCCGTTGGGGGCGCCGTAGCGCGTGGACAGGCCGTTGCGGGAGCCGAAGCCGTTGCCTCCGTTGCGGCCGGGGGCGCCGTAGCGAGTGGAAGGCGCACCGCCGAAGCCGTTGCCGTTGGGGGCGCCATACACGGAGGAAGGCGCGCCGCCGTTGCGCCCGAAGCCGTTGCCGTTGGGTGCGCCGTACACGGAGGACGGCGCGCGGCCGAACCCGTTGCCGTTGCCGTTGCCGTTGCCGTTGGGGGCGCCGTACACCGAGGACGGCGCGCGGCCGAAGCCGTTGCCGTTGCCGGCGCCGGGGGGAAGGTAGCTGCGGTCCACTGGGGGCTCGGCGAGCGCGCAGCCGAGGACTGCGAGGAGCAGCACAACCTGCGGAGGAAGTGACGTCAGCGGTGCAGTGACCCAACCGCCGCTCCACTGGCGTTCGTCGCCTTTTTCGACTTGTTGGGGAGCAACTTCGTAGCGCGAGCTGCTGCCAGAAGAATACTGACTTAATTGTGAAGGATTCGTTCTCAGTGTTAGGCCAACGTGCGTTGCTCAGAAACTGGGACCGTTTTGCGCCAATTATTGCCAGGCTGGCATTGTTTAACAAGTCAAAAAGAAAAATAGAACATTATAATTTTAGTTACAAAGTTTGCCTGGTTTAAATATTTTGTCTTCGTTTTAAGAACCTAGAAAACGTATTTTGTTCGAATTTTTGTTCCATGTAGTGGGTTAGATTCAAAATAACATTTCGGTATCAATAATAGTAAGATTAGATGTCACTAATTTGTCAAATTTTCTTGTGTTGTGGTTTAAATGACCTACACCCTGAACTCTGATTAGAAAGATTGTAAATAAAACTACAATCGATTTCCTTTGCACGTCACAATTTCTGATACCTCATTTTCCAATTTCTCACATTTTACTGTACCTCGCAGTAATACCTTAGCCTCAACGAACCGTGTTATCACCCAGCGAAGTTGTCTGAGTGGAACACACATGTATCATTTCGTATGGAAATTAGAAGTAAGCTTTGTTGTTGTATGCTTATCCGCGTTTCTTGCGGGAACGTTTCAGGTGCAGGACGAAGCAACCAAATGCTTTTACGTACTTTCCCGTCCTCTACGGTTTCGCAGAATACGTGCTACCGAGACAAACGCACCGAAGACAAAACTCGTTCTCCGAACGAAGATTCCCGAGATGAAAGGCGTTTGAACGTAACTTCGCCGAGTATTTTTACAACCGCCGCTCTGGCGCACGCGGTCAGAACCCGTTCTCAGTTGACTGCACGAGCGCGCGGCGGGGGAGGCAGGGGTGGCAGCGTATGAGCTGTGTGCCGGAGGGATCGGTCTTTTGTTTCGCAAGCTAAGTGCACTCGAGGCGAAGAATAGAGACCGCAACGTACTTCTAGTCGAATCTTTTGTCGGCCTAATTGACCACTATGTTTTTTTTACTCTTGTTTACTGACATGCAGTATTCTAACTGGCGAGTAAACGCACTCAAGTCAGACTTGAACGCAAAGCAACGAATTATGCATTGAACGAGGAATGTGGCAAATGTTTTATAGAAGAATGTTGCGAGAGAATAGGTATTTTTTCTTTTCTATGTAGTATTCGCGTTCTAAAACAAATGTTATTTTTAAATTCACTCATCAATAGCTCTTTCGCTGTACGCATCGTGTAATATAAAGCCAATTAAGAGCTTACGCGAACGGATTTGAAGAGACTATTTACTTATGTACCATTAAGATAAGGGAAATTCTTGGTTTCATGTTACCACAGGACATACGTAAGATTCTGAAATTTAAATTGCTAATTTTGTCCGAAGAAAATCCTTAGCTACCATTTAAAGTCTAAATGCACGAATGTATGCCAGTAGGTGTAAATATATCTTATGATATCCAGAATATTGTCATATGGTCCACCAATGCGTATTGATAATTAGTATCCTTAATATGAAACCATGTCCGCGGCAAAGTATTAATTCCTTAAACATAATTTTGGAATTTGAATATTTAATTTTGTAATTTTTTCTACTCAAAGTTTAGTGGACAAACACATTATGAATTACAAATATTATTTGAACTTTTTTCATATTTTCGAATTACTCAAGTCATAGATATATTGTCTAAGATTATAGTAAAAGCGTTCATTCATAAGCTAAGAAACAACAAATTAAGTTTCAAACATATTATTTGTCACAAGTCATTCGGAAATTTTGAATGAAAAGAAATCAAAGAATGAAGCTTCTCTGATTTTCTTGTCTTTCAGCATGTTACTCCATATGGCCTTGATACTCTATATGGTTTTACGAGAGAACGATCGAGACTTTCTCTAATCGATTACATCTTTTGATTGCCCATGAATGGAATTATTTAATAAGAGATCTCGACCCAGCGACATACTTTCTCAGAAGAGACTACTTCGCGAGATACACTTTCGATTCCCAGTAAATCAATTGAATTGCTTTATAAGCGCGTAGCATCATCTCGAGAAACCCCTCTGAAACCCCTTCTCAAAATCACTGTAAATTATGAATGAAGCAATTGGTACGCAACATGAACATTCATCGTTTACGGTGAAGAATAAAGAATCGTAGATTTAAAATACAAAAAATATATATTTATAAACTTGAATTTAATATTTAAGGTTTGTTTACAAGAAACAGTATTTTAAATTTTGTGCCATAGAAACCCCTTAATGCCCGTAAATGGCTGTCAATCTGGAACAAAATGAACATCGTCCAGTGAAGTCCACTTAGTTCATCTACCCTTACCAGTCATACCCTTCTCTAAGTCGACTAAAATCTGGAAACGATCCCACGAAATCTGAGAGGCAAAGTCTAATCGTTTCGAGTGATTTTGACTTTCTTAAGGGAACCCGTTTCTAGAGACAAGGATTTTGAATAATTAAATTCAATATTCTTTTCCAGTTCCTTTAAAAAAGAGTTCTTATCTTACCAGACTAACTCAACCCAAAAATGTTATGAATTGAGAATGAGTTGATTGAATTACAATGAAATTTATAATCGCGTCCCTTAACCCTTTCAAGACGAGTTCGGCCTCACCGGTCGCTGAAGTCGAAACAGAGGGCAGCCTTTTCCAGAAGGGAAAGGGTTAACCCTTTATCTTCCCAGGCGTCTCTTACCTTCGCCATTGCTGATGAGCTGTGTATGTACGACGGAGAGACCTGAGTGCGACTGTGCCGGACGCTTCCCTGCCGCCCCTTTATATAGTAGGCGGCTGCTACACTTTTAGAATGGACGCAGGCCGCGGCGAGCGCGCGTTCGCCCAGCCCCACACCTCCCCGCCCCGCCCCGCATCGCCCCGCCCTGCTCCGCATCGCCCGCGACCGGGATGGGGCGGACACCGCCGCCTCCGCCACCGCTCGCCTTGCGCCATCCGGGAGATTCAGCCTTGCTCGTCCCTCGCGAACAGCCAGCCTCTCGCCGCCGCCGCCGCTGCTCAGGGGCAGGTCCGGCCGCCCGGCCCCGCCCCCCACGCCCACCACCAGCCACCCCGCGCCCCCACCGCCTCCGCGCGACCATACGCTACACGCTCTCCGCGTTTCGACACACCGACAGCGATGATCTACTTTATATAACTCGGCCCGTCTCATCGGACGACCGGTCCCGCCGCAAAAAGAAGCGCCGGCCGGCCCCGCGTGTGAAAACGTGAGCGACCCGGCGCTCTCGCAAGGTTACTACGCCGCCAGGACGGCTGTTTTTTCGAGCGCTCGCGGGCCGGACCGCCCCGCGAGGGCCGCCGCGAGGCGGCGGGCTGTGTAAAATCGTTGCGCTCGGCATATGTACGATCGGCCTCTCGGCTTGCTCTCGTTGTGCGGGAGGCGTCTGTTCAGAAGGCCCCAGTTGCGTGACGCTCCACATTTGCCCGTGCCTTTTCGAAGCTGCTGTTGCTTTTCGTGTGTGTATGGGATTGGAAATAGCAGTGTATTGAATAGAACGTAGCATTATGGATCCCTGACACATTTGTGGAGAATGCTGTGATTTCATAAACACGTGTTATTTCCGTAAAAAGTGCAGTGCTTGCATTTTTTGTTGAGGTGGTTTTCACATCCACGGCAATCTCTGTTTGCATTTTAGCAAAGTGTATGCACTTTTGAAGGAAAAGCATATGTCGTTTGTCCTATTTCCTGGTGTAACGTGATTAGCAGTTTCTGTTTCAAGGATACTCTAGTTCAAGCTGGTCGTTTTGAAATAGTCAAAGAGTTATAACGGGACTTGTCCTTTAAAACTTTTGCATCTGAAATGGTCGGTTGCAAATCACCTAGTTGCCGTCGTTTCTAGAAAGCTTGATGCAACCGAGGTAATCATCCAGGCTTCCGTATCTGAACATTAATGATTGCCTGACTCACTTGTGTCGAGATGGATTCTCAACCAGTGCGCTTTCTTATCTCTCGGTTATTTTATTTGGGCGTAATTACCTTCTGCTATTGTCTTTAGATCAAATTGATAGAATTCTAATTTATCAATGCCAGTGCTCAATCAAATGATGTAATTAGAACTCGAAGATAATGTATTACTTCAGCCCGGAAGAACAGGCGTTAATTTTACCTAAAATGGTCAGGCAAAAAAGGATTTACTTTTACTGAAATAGACATGGGGAATGACATTTATTCAGCGTAGATAAATAGAGAAGCTAAAGGGCATATGAACAATGAAAAATCACTATTGTAAATGTATAATTCTAAAAAACTCGTAATAATTAAAATAATTTAAAGTAACTCTCATCTAAAATTATTCTTAGTGGCTCTTATAATTTCTGTATGATAACTACCAATTTGTTACACTCACGATACTGTCTTTTCGAAATGCCGAGTCTTTTAAATCCTTTATTGACATAGGTAAAATTGTTTGGACCTTGACATTTAGTAATCGCCAGCACTGAGGACAATATCGTTTATAATGTACAGAGAGCTCTGTACTCGATATGGATTTGAGACCATACTCAAAGTTAGAATGGGTTTCCTCGCGGGCGAACAATGAAATCAATAAAAGAAATACAACAATTTATCTGTAATCATTTTGCTTTCTCCTAGCGAATTTTAATACTTCCAGGCTCTGGAACCGAAATTCAACACTTCTTGCCTGTTATCAGGACTCTTCTTACCAATAACGACGAAATGGGACAATGCCTTCTGGTTGCTCAGGATTGTAGGTATTTTTCCAGATTGATCGATATTGGTCTTAACAGGAAAAAGGAAAATAATGCCAAAAACGGTAGAAAAATAATGCATAGTAGAAAAAATGAAAATTTTAGAAAATTATAGCAACTTCAGAAATACATTTAAGTGATTCCTTAGTGGAATTATAACAATTAAATCCAATTCCATAAAAAATCCGATAAATTAACTTTAAGCCTGGTTTACTCAGAAGCACGAATTTGTAACGCAACATCTTTATCCGTCACACGTAAGCTTCCGCGGCTCGAATCCATAAATTCTTGGCTATCCGGGAGACGTCTCGTCGTTGGCTGGGAGGCCCACGTTGCGAGTTTGGCTGACTTCGTAAAGACAGTGTCCTGCAGTCACTGCCCTGAGAATGCCTGCAACACGTCAGGCGAAACGTCGGCCTCCCAGCCAACGTCACGGCGTCTCCCGGATAGTCAAGAATTTATCTTCATCCATCAGTTTTCAGATGAAGCGTCGGGGCTTTGACGTCAGGCAGAAGGCTGTGATCGTGGCGTTCCAGTGTCGTGAAGATGAGCGGCTGGAGGCTCGCCTGGCCGCGCAGCATTCTTGGGAAGGTCGCGCCCCCACCCCCACCCCCACCCCCGCCATTAGCGCGGCCTTGCTGCGGGGGCGGAGATTGCGTGGGGGCTCCGGCGCCTCCTCGACTTCCCCCGACGCGACTCTCCCGCAGCGCCACCGAAACTGGGCCGAGGGGCGCACACACACATCGCCGGCGAACTAAAAAGATAGATGACATCTCGGAAAATGGTCACCGTTCAGGAGTAGCATTGCAGGCTGAGATAATTCAAAGGCGGTAATTTTAGGAATGGTTTTTGAGTCCCAACGGTGGCGAGTTTTCGACACAAACTTTGAGTTAATAGTTAGGTCGATTTCAAACAGTTCCTGCAGAAGGATTCTAGCTGTCGACTCTGATCGAGAGTTTCCGTTTTTCGTGTAGTTGGGGTGATGCTCGGAAAAATGTTCTAATAAATGGGTCGCGGACCGATCTTTCCTACCGCTTCGATGACCTACCCGCTGCCCTTATACTCTCACACTTAATGCACTGCACTATCACAAGTCGTGACACAAATCGGGAGCTTGGAGCTTGTCCAAGCAGGAGCGCAGCCCCGCTGGGGGCGACACCTGGAGGGGAAAATCAGAAGCAAGCAGACGTGAAGGTCTACGCCAGATCTCACCTTCCAGTGAGGGAATAACACCTTCACATCGCAGGATAAAATATTCATTACACTAATGCTTTGAACTAATAACCATAGCAGTTGGCGTGCTGGAAAAAATGAAACAATCTTTCAATGAATCAAAGTGTGTCATTTTACTAAAGAACATTTTCATCTGAGCTGAGCCCTTTATTTCGCGTCCAAAGACAAGGTGTTGTATTTAC